GGGGGGGGGTTCCATGTTGAGCGTGGAATATTTTCAACCAGGTCTCGTGTCTTGCCAGGGGTGTTGAAGTTTGAAGCATAGATATGTACCTCAGCCCCCGCCCCTGATATTGCCCTTTCCTTTTTGGGAGATGAACTTCAACAATACCGGTATTTATAGTGTGGTTAAAAATGTGCAGAGCAACTTATTTTCTAATATCTCATCTATAACAGGTGAACCAGTGTCGCCTTTTCTTTACGTAGCAATGCATATCAGTTTGTCTCAACTTAAGCATATTTTTCAGGTGTTTAAAAAAAATATTGATCATCTGAGACAAATTGACAAGTCGCCTTGCGAAAGGTGGAGAGTCTGTGTTCAATAGTTGAAATGTCTGACATTAAGTTGCGCCATGAATATTTGACCGCGCCCTAGTTAATAATGGTATGTGACTGTCGAAGCAACGTACGAGCTGTTTTCGTAGCTCTCACTGATCCACCAACAGTTTCATGCATACTGTGACACAGTAATTTGCTACTCGTGGAACTGACATCGGAGAGGGAAGAGATTTTTGGAGAAGAAAAAATCGCAGTAAATGTATTTAGTAATATATTTAGGCTGCTTTCTGGGAGAGAGAGAGACATACAATATCACGTGACAGGGGTTGATTATAATAATTAGATAGACACTATCGCTTGGCCTACACCCTCGTATATATTTAACCAGTTTTTCTCCTCCACCCCCAACTCCCCCCCTTTTTTTACACTCAAATTCTTCGTTCTTCCGTGGCGGTAATAAAATGGCACAATTCGTCAATTCCCGGCTGATAAGGGGTCCATGGCCTGGCACGGAGCCATACACTGGTTTTGTGCGACCGGACAACTGCTCGACAAGAAAGGTCATTATTTGTAACAATTGACCGGAATATAATATAATTTACTTCACATTGGTGTGCCTTCATCAGTCTTTATGAAACTTCATCATGCTTCGGTGGCTTTGGAAAAATAAGAGACACTGTTTGACTGTATTTCATCCTGAGATTCTTTGACTGGAAGTATCAGTGTCAGCTGTTGTTGTACTTTCCTGGCATTGAGACGCAGAGAAGTAGAACGGTCGATGATTTCAGTGGCTCGTAAATACGCAGAAATTCGAGCGTGACATTCGCAGGTTCTTGACCTTTGCTGAAAAGTCTCGTTGGCAAAGACCTTTGGTCACGGGTTAACAGTCTTTATAAATGTAATATACCTGTGCTAGCACAAAGTAATCTTAGGGCAAAGAGGATTACCGTATTTATTTAGGGTTATCTCCGGGTCGAGGAAATGTTTCAATCGACGAGAAATATTGTTAGATAGGCAACAGCCATTTGATATAAAACGCAGGTGTGCTGTTGGTTTGTGTTACCTGAGGCAAAGAAGCAAGAAAAAGAGAGAAACTGGAGGTAAACTCAGATGTGATATTGGGTTTATGTAATGAGGCTGGAAAGTAGGGAGTAAAACAAAGCTCTGGGGACGATGTAGGGTTGTTTTTTTCGGAAGAGTCATCGCGGCAGGTCTCCGGACTGACGGTAGTTGGAGTGCTTGGTGAGTGAGGATCAGGGAGAGACCGATGACATCACGTGATTGAGGCTGATGGCAATGATACTGAGACAGACGGTATCACGTGACAGAGGTTGATTATGATAAGACAGTCAATATCACGTGACAGAGGTTGATTATGATAGGACTAAGACAGTCAATATCACGTGACAGAGGTTGATTATGATAAAACAGTCAATATCACGTGACGGAGTTTGATTATAAAAGACAGACAATATCACGTGACAGCGGTTGATTATGATAAGAAAGTCTATACCACGTGGCTGAGTTTGATTATGATACAACAGATACATACAACATCACGTGACATAGCTTTTCAAGGGAGGGACGTAGACAGACAGTATCAGTTGACAAAGACTGCTCATGTGGAGACAGGCACAGACAATATCGCTGATAGAGGGTGCTCACAGTAACGTCTTGTAAGTGTATCATGTATGAGTATGCAGATAAAGACAGGCTCACGACACGACATGATATGAAATGACAGATGAGCCTCATGACATGGCAGGTGAAGCTAGTGACATGACATGACTGTTGATGCCAATGATGTGACATGACATGACATGACAGTTGAGGCCAATGATGTGACATGACATGACATGACATGACAGTTGAGGCCAATGATGTGACATGACAGTTGAGGCTCATGATATGATAGTTGAGGCTCATGACATGACAATTAAGGCCAATGGTGTGACATGACAGTTGAGGCCAATGATGTGACATGAAATGAAATGACAGTTGAGGCCGATGATGTGACACGACCTGACATGACAGTTGAGGCCAGTGATATTACATGACATGACAACTGAGACTCCAGACATGACAGGTAAGGCTCGTGACATCACATAATAAGTGAAAGTCATTCGTGACCGATTAAGCTCACTTAGTGACACGGGACTGATTGCTCTATTGCAAGTTTTACACCCCCATCGACACAACGTTGGTTTATTTAAGAGGTGGGCTGCTTCGGCCCTGCCTGTCTGGTTCAACCCAGGCCAAGTGGCAAATGCATCTCTGCAGAAAGAGAAAGGTACTCGATAAAATAGATTTTCTTATATGAGACTTGAACCCATATCGTGCGACTGTCTCTGACGATCGTTTCATAAGTACACTGGTACAGAACTCGACATCGCGAGGCCTCTGTCGGAGAAGGCTTAAAGATACATGTAATAATGATATTTGGCCTTACTGCTCGCTCTCTCTCTCTCTCTCTCTTCTCTCTCTTCTCTCTCTCTCTCTCTCTCTCTCTCTCTCTCTCTCTCTCTCTCTCTCTCGCTCTGTCTCTGTCTCTCACTCTGTCTATCTGTGTCTCTTTCTCGCTCTGTCTCAGTCTGTCTGTCTGTCTGTCTGTCTGTCAGTCT